GCCATCATGCAGTTTTTTACATTATTTGCCATTGTAAGTGATGGTAGTGTTGTATGCTGTGTTTTTTTTTTTTTCAGCGCTCTGAAATATTTGGATGCATTGAACTTGGTCGAAAATTCACCACGGATTTCGACATCGGAACCACTGTCAACCAACCGATTCAATATGCTGAGCACATAAAGCGATGCCAATCGGAACATTTTTGAGAAATTGACCACAGCTCTTTCAATCATATCATTCAGACGTTGCTTGTCTTCAGTGTCATCACCACGGTGAATTTTTCTAGGTTTTTATCGTTGTTTCACCTCGTTTTGTTCTCATTTGATTTTGGCGTTTCAATGGTTTTTTTGCCGAAGTTTGCCGAGTTTTTTTTCTGTTGAACAGAAGAGGGTTTGCGACGCCGTTTCATCTTCTTTCAACTAAAATTCAGCACACTTTAAACAAAACTTTTTCGTCGATTTTCATCGAACAATAAATATTTTAAAACTATAGTTTATAAACTGTATCGACAGATCAAGAAGACAAAATAATGTATGCGTCCGATCACTTCAATTGTTGTTCAATGTCTGCGTCTGCGTGTCTCACTTTGAATCGACTTGCTATGGCTACAAGCACTGTAGTTCTAGTTTAATGTTTGCACATGCACAGAGCCGGTAACGGTAAGTTTTTTTGCTCGAATTGGAAAACAATCGAACGTATTGTTAGCATTATTGCGTAGTGACAGCATTCATTGTGCCTTGGTGGGCATGACGCCATTTTGTTTGTTAACATTTCAATCCTTTTCAATTCAAACGCAGTTTTGTGGTTCTTCGTAGCGACCAACTGAATACATCTTCTTTTCACTGACTGGCTAAAATAAAAGGCACTTTATATACATAAAAAATCATCACTTATTACAATAATCAAATCTACTCACCTCTTTCTCTTTCTCTCTCTCTTTGTGTGTTACTGCTGTCATAATTCCGTACATTCGCAGCACCGTGTTGTCGCTGTGACGTTGCTTCAATGCTGATGTGTGTAGAAGGGCTCATCTCTCTACTACCAAATCACAAATATTTGTCAGCAATTTGTTTTTTCCTATGTCTGGTCAAACTATTTGGATTCTTACATTCCCAATGGTTTTCCAATCATCTCTCACTCACTCACTCATTCACTCATGCATTCATTCGGCCAAACATACACACTCTGTCTTTCTATCTCACATACATTTCTGTATCGGCAACGTAATTTGAAAATCTCATTGCACATATTATAGAATTAATGTCAATGATGATAATGGAAAAAGAATCAAAGGAAAGGATCAGGAATTGTAGAGTAATGGAATACATATAGTACATATACAAACTCTTGGCCATAGATTGGCACTGAAGCGATACGCATCCTTCATTTGTTCATCATCTTTTTCCTCGTTGATTGCCATAGCTTTTGATATGACACCACCCTTTGATGGATCCGACTCATCCAAATCTATGCTAAAATCTATTCGACATGCATTTCGAGTCAAACTCTCCGACAGTGTTAGCGGCCTAAAATAATACAAAAATCAATCACATTGTAAAATGATGCATTGAACACTGCTGCACTTACGGTTGAAAGATCTCACCGTAGGTGATGTCTTGAATTACATAGTCAATGGCTGATTCCACCGAAATATCCATGGATTGTGCCATTTTTATTATTGAAATATCAAAAAGCTTTGATGTCAATTGTTTATGTTTGTTTTGCATTTCCTTTTTGACGTAAAAACATATGGGTACATACAAATGTTAATGTTTAAATTGACAATGTTCGAATACAGCATGTTTCATATATGTACGAATCAATAAGTAATGGAACAGAATGGAAAATGAATCGAAGGAATGGATCAGGAATTATAGAGTAATGGAATAGTAATTTTTAAGTAAGTATGCATGACAGTTACTCTAGACAGTTTTGTCATTTTATGGATATACATAACCTCTTATTTACCATGTGTTAATAGATACAAGTGTTTGAATTGGAGTCAATGTGGGTCGCGCAAAAAATTATTTAAAAAAAAATTCTACGAAAATTTTTCAAAAGATGGGTGTGGATCAGCAAGCGCATCGTGCTGGTGCGTTGAAACAAAAGAATAAAGTGCATAAAACGGGTCGACATCGTTCAAAAGGTGCCATTGACAACGAATTAAAAGGTTCGTATTTTGTAAACAATATAAGACCACGTGACAACAAAGGTTTGGAAAAAAATCCTTCAATCGATACATTTTGTTTCGAATTTTAGGTAAATATTCGGTTTTAGCTATCACTAAAAAGCATAAAAATGCAATGACTAAAGAACAGCGTCGTCATCAAGCACATCAGGTAAGTTTTTATATCTCTATCTACTTCCATTCAATTGAATTGAACAAAATTATTAATATAAATTGTGGAATTAACTAACAGATTCGCAAAAACAAAAGAGACGAAGTGATGGACAAGAAACGTTCATTAGGTGGTTCATCTTTTGCGCCATTTTTAATCGCCTTAATACCGTTGAATGAACAAATTGATCCACAATCTGCACTAAGCATTCTCAAAGTATGCGATCCAGATGCAATTGTCAGTACAAGTCCAACCGGGACAACCCACATTACGTACGTTAGCTCTTGTTGAACGTTTATTTCTTTTATTGATATTTAAATGTGTGTTTACTTTCAGAATTCCACGTTTTAAGCAGCGTTTCGCATTTATCATACCACCAATCGGCTTTGGAAATGAACTGGCTGCCTTGGACTGTTTAAAAGTTTGTGACACAACAGTATTTTTGGTGTCGGCAAATGTTGAGGAGGATGAAATTTATAGTAAATGGGGTAAACGCTACTACTTATTCTATTATTTTATAATTGTTATTTACTCTTTTTCGATTTATTTCGATTATCATCAATAATACATTAATTCTAATATCTATACTATGATATCGACAAATGACAATGAAGAAAATAGAATGTATGTAAGATAAAAAGAGAGACTGTGTGTCTGACCGAGTGAGTGAGTGAGTGAGAGATTATTGAAAACTATTGGAATGTAGGAATGTAAGGGATTATTGGTCGATTATTTTAAATTATTTCTATTCTTTTTTTTGTGATCTCCCCTAAGGTAAACGATTCATCAATATGGCTTTTGCTCAAGGTGTTCCAACGCCAATTATTTCAGTGATGGATATGGAATCAATTGCACCAAATCGTCGTGGTAAAACGAAAATAGCAATTCAAAAATATATTCAAAAAACGTTTCCCATGGAAAAAATTATAAGCTTGGACACAAACAATGACGGTTTCAATTTATTCCGTCGAATTGGTGGTCAAAAGAAAAAGATCTTACAAAACAAAGACAATCGATCCCATTTGTTCGCCGAACAGATTGAATATGTCGAAAATACAACTGATTCAAAAGCAGGCATTTTGAAAGTTACTGGCCATTTGCGTGGTATCAGTTTAGATGTTAATGGTTTAATACATATTCCAAATTTGGGCGATTTTCAAATGCTTCAAATCGATTTGATAGCCGATCCATTCAGACACGACAAAGAAAAGTATGTAGCTTTAGTTTAAATTTGTATTTAACAAAGTGATTTAAATTGTATATTTCATTTTCACATAGTATCGAAGAGACTCGTGTATTATTACGTGCCACCGCATCGAAGCAAATTTCGTTGCAACGGGAAAATATACCAGATGAAATGGATGAAGAGCAAACGTGGCCAACCGAAGAGGAAATCGCACATGCTCAAGCCGAAACAAAGAAAATGAAGTTAATCAAACGAATTCCGAAAGGTTTGAGTGACGAGAATTATTTAAGGGAGAGTCTCCGGTTACGAGACACGTTTTCTCTCTCTCACTCTTTTTTAGTCATAGTCTATATTATGCAGATATTTATACACTGTTGAATAGCTTATGTCAATAGCTAACTTTTCTGCGAAGAAAGTGTATTGATTCCTTTTATAGAAAAAATTTCATTACCAAATTAAAAAAGGGTTGCATTTTTGAAAAAAAAAATTTGGCACCGGTTACGAGACACCTAAGGAAGGCCAATAAAAATTGGAAAATATGAAGCAAAATCTTTATAAATCCAAAAAATAACAATGTTTATTTATTGTGAAAGCCTCTTAAGGCAAAAAAAAAATACGAAAATGGCATTTTTTCTCCATTTTACTCCATTTCTTAATCTTCTTCTAAGTCCAAGTGAGAGTCACAATGTTTGCAAATGTAGTAGCTTCTACGCATGTCCGCACACTTCAAATGAACCGGCCGTTCGCACGAATTGCAATCGATAGAATTGGCGGCGGTTAATTTTTTCTTTTTTCGGAGTTGACAAGATGTTGTCTTGTTAGTTTTGTTTGTTCATTTTCTCTTAGTGGTTCATTGTTCGAAGTAAGACTGAGTCAAACCGTCTGACTACCGAAATCGAAATCCTTGAATACCGAAATGAAATTTTATTACCGGTTTTCTGCGAAAAAAAAACAGCTTATTTTACACTCTGGGTCAAGTTCAGACTATTTATATACTCGCGGGTGGGTGCAGCTGGTGGGGATAAGACATTCTAGAAAGTTCGACAAGCTTCCAGAACATTCAATTTGATTTATCTGGAAATTCTAGAAATTTTCATGGACTTCTGTGAGTTTTTATGAGCTTCTAGAACATTCAATGAATTTCGATGGATTTCTATACGTTTCTAGAACGTTTCATTTGATGTTTCTGGACATTTCTAGAACAGCACCAAGTGTCTCGTAACCGGCGACATGATTGTCTCGTAACCGGGAATGACGCCATGTTAAGTTGCTCAATTCAATTTTTTTTTCTGATGATATATTGGTCCAATTGATTACTCTAATTAAAAATATATTGAAAATACTGCATCTATATGAATTGCACTCATATTTCGCGATTGACTTAGTCCAATTAATGGCACTTCGAAAAAAATTCGAAATTATTTTTTCGGAGGATTTTCACGCGCAGTCCTCGGAACTAATATAATAATTGCGTCTATTCAACTCGGTGTTACGGCAAAAGTTAGCTCACGTCAAAAGAAGACTTTAACACTACAAACATTCGGTGTGACAAGTAAAAAATATAAAAAAAACTTGACTGTCTCGCAACCGGTAATGTCTCATAACCGGAGACTCTCCCCTAATAATTTTTTTCTATTATTTTCGTTATCATTTAACATTCATACTATGAGATTTCCAAACGATGATGATGATGCAATCAGACGTTGTATGTTTTAGAGTGTCTAGTTGAGTGGATGCGTGAGTGAGAGATGATTGAAAATCTTTAGAATATAAGGAACTATATAACTTGACTTATATGTTTCCATTATTTTGAATATTTGTTGATTATTTTGATTATTTCTATTCTCTTCTTTCGTGATACTCCCCTTAGGTATGAGTGACTATCAAGCCTGTTGGATTCCGGACATTGAAGAAAAAGATTGTATCGATGAGTCAGATGATTATAGTGACGACAATAGCATGGAAGATGATGAAGATTTTATGTCGTGCATTAGTGACCCGGATTCATCCGATGAATTTGAAAAAAATGATCAAAATGCCGACGAAGAATGCATATCTATTGTTCAATCTGAAGTTCGTTTTAATGATGATAAATATGATATGGAAATAGATTTGCAAGAAGAACGAGAAACATGGGAAAAACTTAAAGATGCACGATCTGATAAAATCTGGCCAGATGAAATCGATACGCCATTGAATATACCGGCAAGAACAAGATTTCAAAAGTATCGAGGATTGGAATCGTTTCGAACATCACCATGGGATATTAAAGAGAATTTACCAGCTGATTATGCTCGAATCTTTCAATTTGTTAATTTTGATCGAACGAAGAGACGTATTCTGAAGGAGTATAAAGATGACGTTGACGGAGCTGAGGTAAAAATCGATTGATTTTATTAAATGAGTGTGTGAATTTAAGGAATTTTTGTTTTTTTATAGCCTGGATATTACATAACTATTCATGTATCAAATGTTCCGTTGGGACAATGGCAAAAATGGAAAGCCATTCAAGATACGAAACCAATTTTAATCATTTACGGTTTACTACCGCATGAAAATCAAATGTGTATTATGAATACGGTGCTCAAACGTGCACCCGACTCAACCATACCTATAAAGTCTAAAGAACGACTCATCATTCAATGCGGTTACAGACGGTTCATTGTTAATCCAATATTTAGTCAACACACAAGCAATGACAGACATAAGGTACTTTTTTAGTTCTTCTATTGGGTTGCATTCAATTTAAATGAAATTTTTGTAGTATGAGCGGTTCTTCAGACCTGAAGAAACAGTGGTCGCTAGTTTTTTTGCACCAATCCAATTTCCACCATCGCCTATTTTGTGTTTCAAAGAGAACCCAGATACTACATTACGTCTAGTGGCGAATGGAATCTTGCTATCATGTAACCCGGATCGGGTGATTCTAAAGCGCGTAGTTCTTAGCGGTCATCCATTGAAGGTGAGTTAATTCAAATACAATGAATTTAATATTTATTTAATTTTAAATGGCTCTCATTATTAAAAAAAAAAAAAAAAAAAAAAAAACAGATTAATCGAAGAACTGCCACTATTCGATATATGTTCCACAATAAAGAGGACATTGAATATTTTAAACCTCTTAAGCTTCGTACACGTTGTGGTCGTTTAGGTCACATAAAAGAATCATTAGGTAAGTATGAAATGTCCATTGCAAAATTTGAATTCAATTTTATTTCAACACTTCCACTAAAATAGGTACTCACGGACATATGAAATGCGTATTTGATGGTCAGTTGAAATCGTTCGATACGATTTTCATGTATTTATACAAACGAATATTCCCAAAATGGACGTATGAAGATTGTATAGTATCAGTGCAAGATGAAACAAATGCAGATATACAAAATGATACTGAAATGGTTGAATAAAAGGATAGGTTGTTATTAAAATCCTACCTCGTTAAAGGAAATAATTGTGTATGATAACGATACGAATTCTTTTTGTTAAATGAACAACTGAAAATTAAATTAATGAAATAATTATTTATAAATATTTTTATTTAAACAAATTCAAGTTGATGAATTTTATAGCATATTACTAAACAGTAAAGAGAAAGTTCATTACCACAAAACTCATACAAGAAACTATAGCTGCTCTAGAAAGAAAATAAATTTTCTGCCCCGATTTTTTTTAACTATAATCACATGAAATCAAAAAAAATAAAAACCACACTTAAAAAAAATTGAAGAAGAGGAACCAAAAGACGAAGAAAAAAAATCGTTCATCTCAAGCATTTAATTTTATTGATTTTTGAATGGTGGCCTTTTGATATTAAAGCGATTGCAAATGCAACAATACAAATAGGAACAAAAACGACAAACGAGAGAATAAGAGCGCGCATTGGTACGCGATGGTACGTTATTTTCATCTCGCAATTTACAATTTAAAATTTACAGTGATGTATTTGCAGAACGTTTTTCAAATTTATTGAATTCAATGAAACTATAATTTACATATTATTTATTTTAATTCAATTTAAAAAGAAATAATTTACAAATAATGATATTTTGAACTTAAACGCTAACATGTCTTAGATTTAAATTCAAATTATTTGTTTCACATTCTTTCAATATGAGTTGATTCGCTTACAATGAAAATATACACGACTTAATTTGAATCAATCAGATAGCCAAACAAAGCTATTTCATCTTTTTTTGTTCTAAAAATGTTTACATTGTGTGTGTTCGCTTATGTTCTGGCGGTTTAAAAAATTGTACATAAATAATTTCCAATAATCCAATAATCCAATAATTTAGACTTATTTCAGCTTGCAGAAAGATTTTGTGCAACAAAAACCAATCTAGCAGACACATTTGTAATGTTTTTAGTACATTCTAACGTTGAAAAACGTTTTAGCCCATTCTGGTGGTCATTTTCGTATCTAATGGAACAGAGAATGGAATGGATCCACTTGTTTCATTCACTTCCAATAATATTTCATTTGAGAACATAATGTGAACACAACCCAATATATTAAGTTTTAAATTGAAAATCTAAATCTTACGCTCAAAATAAAAAATATACAATTTATTCGGAAAGTAATTTAGTTTAAAATTCTGCAAAAGAACTACACGTCATTTATTTCATTTATTTTTCTGATTTTCGAAATGCAACTGACATCTTTCCAACATTTTTCAATTGGCGCGGTGTATATGTGTCAAACCAAATCCAACGATATTCATTTATATGTATTAAAAATGTGCCCGCATCGTTTGACAGTATTGTTAGTATAGTTAACTATCGCACCGATTTCGTTTACAATAAAAGTTAGGTTTGTTTGCAAAAGGATTTCTTGGAAGTTATATGCGAGTGTTTGTAGCGTGCTTTGGGCAGTCAATTGATGTTATTGTCATTTCAATTTCAACGATTTTGTGTGTTCGGAACGCTGTTCGCTGTGAAATAAATATATATTCCATATATTCGCGTTCAACGAAAATGTGCATTCACAGGCAGATAATCTTGTGGGCAAGAAATACGTTATGTCCAGCCGTTGAAGTGAGATATTTTGAAATGTAATTTGCTGGGTTGGAAAATCTACATGATTTAAAAAAAATGTAATTTACGTAGAATATGTATACTCTACATTATTCAAAAATTCAAAATCAGAGTCAAAATGCTACTGAAAAAATTATCTGAAGTTGGTGAATGAATGAAATGTGTTTCTATTGAAAAGATTTGTTATGTTAAAAGTCAAATAGACACATTTTCAATAAAAATTACCATAAAAACTCTATTCAATTTTTGGCGTTTTGATACATTTTCTGGTGGTTTTAATATAGTCAAAATTGAATAATCTCCAAATTTTGTAGATTACATGAGAAAAAATATGTAATTTACATGGTAGTAATCTACATTTATAAAATGTAGATTATGTATCAAAGTAATCTACAATACCAACCCAGGTAATTTGAAATGTGTTTGAATCGAAACTCATTATTTTTCATCAATTTGAATTTTGAACGGAAACATCACAATACCCAACACGCGATTTTACTGAGAAACTTGGCAGAAAGGAGGAGAAAAAGAGGCGAAAAAATTAGCTGGAAGGTTTGATATCGAAGAAAAGAATCATCTAAAGTCATATCCGTTCGGTCCACCATCATCGCGTAATTCAACAGAGTATCGTATCAAAATGCTACGAAAAGGAATGTCAGCATATGCAACGCGTAAATATTCGCGACTGGATTTTGATCATTACATCAATTCGAACCAAGTAAATGATAACATCGCCGTGACAGTAACCAACAACATGCCGTCAATGATTATCTTTGGTGCATCAGAGATGCCATTTGGTTTGAAGAGACGAAAATGATGTCCAGGATCGCAAAAATGTTTGGTGAGCGTCAAGAAAATTGGCCATTACATGTTCAGGATTATGTTGCTGCTGCACAGGCAGTTGATTGGCATCACGATATTGATGCTGCAAAATGCATTATGCTCAAAGGTTTGAATCAATTGAAAATAGTGTCTATTCATTGTTTAATGTTTTTGCTTCTAATTACACAGGACGTGCCTGGTTCGTTGAGAAGACCACCGAATGCAAACAATGTCAACATACAATCAGCAGCATTGAATTCATAAATAATTAGATAATACAAATATTATAACGATTAGTAGCTTGACACAATTTGTGTTACACAAATTTTGTGGCCTTGTTGTGCGTTCAGTACAAATATAGTACGGAGGGAAGGAGCCCGTAGGTGAGTAAAGTTTTTAATTTTAAAAAAGTTATTTCATACACAATTGTGTCCGTAAGAATAAATATGGCAATACAAAAACGGAATCTGAAGAAGGTTACATAAAAAAATTTTTGTATGGAGTTGTACTATTAAAAAAAAATTATGTAACGTTCTTCAGATTCCGTTTTTGTATTGCCATATTTATTCTTACGGACACAATTCAATTGATACTAATGATTGTCGTTTCTCTTTTCCATGTATTCACACCTGAATGTTATGCTATGTCACCCGTGAAGAGGACTGAAACTACACACAAATCCGGGTCCAAATTTGACCGAGAATTTGTGCCTGGTGAATTTGCATTACAAATTGTTTCTTGATCAAGCACTCAACCCAACTGAAAATTAATTTTTTGATAATTTTGCACACGAAACATTAGATCAATTCACAATCTTCTATATATTTTTCTTTTTGTTATGTCTAATTGGTAATTTATATAAATATAAATTTGATGGATTTATATTTTTGTTTCTCTTTCATAAACAAACGCTCATTTCTATCACACAAGCGAGGAGAGAATATCCGATTCCAAGACAAAATGTCATTCAAACAGCGTTAATTTATGTTAACATTCATTGATGGTAAATGTTTTTGAAGGATTTATCTACTGCATTTTCGATACTTCGAATCGTGTATTGATAATTTCTTCATCGCTATCCAGAATAGGTAACGTTGAATCGACAATTGCTGTTGGAATATTTTCTTCGACCTAGAGAAAATCAGGAAATGGAAATCAATCAACAATTAATAGACCGTAATGGAAATAATGGAAAAATAATCTAAAGAATGGATAGCAATTCTTAAATAATGAAATAGTAATTAAACCGACCCATTTTAAATCGTCTTCATCTGTTGTTGTTTTGCTGTGATTGTTCAATTTTGGTGAATTTGTATTGCGTGATCCGCGCATTTTGACGCCATAAACATCGGCCACAAATTGATCTTCTTCGTCATCTTCGTCTTCTGGATCTAGTAATGGCGTGAATGCGTAGCGTTGATTGTTGTTCGTCGGACGCCATAAAATCATTATAACAAGCAATAGTAATGAGAATAAAATATGCCAAAATGCTTCATCTTCCCATAAATCTTTCCAATCTGTTAGACATTTGGACAGCCTATGGGTTTTTATCGAAAACAGCATAAATATTACCGATGCAAGAACGGCAAATATAAGAGTGTTTGTAAAGTGTCTATATAATGTTAATTTCACCATATTTCGACGCAATCGAAGTGTGCGAGTTGTTTGCACCAATGACGTGAATATCCACCAGCAGATTGCAGAGTCGAGAACAGCAAGCGGGATACTTGCTACTAAAATTTGATTATTCGGGTCACTTTTAATGTTCATAACGCGCAAATAGCTTTCAACACTGGCCAAAACAAAATACAATGCACCCGTACCGACAACACGATGCAACATTGGACCCAAACGCGGTTTTACAATGCCAAATCCAAGAGATACAATTATTACCTAAAAATAAAAAATGATCCCAATGTTAAAAAAGATGTCAATTTTTAAATCATTATGATTTTATTTCGTTTGAAATTTCTTACAAGCATTCGTGCCAGCGTTCTTTTGGCACATGAAACCCATTCAGCTAGCAAAACAGCACCACGCACTGAAACTCCAGTCGAATTTATGCTTTGGTATTCAGCATAAAACATTGCTTTCTCTAACATTCCCAATAAGATAACACCTCCAATCCAAAATTGAATGCGCAACAAATCACGCCATTGCATAAATGAAACCAGCAACCAAATCACGCCAAATAGCACATATATTAAGCACATTAGACCATAAAATGGTAACAATGGCCAATCAACAGCTGACAAGAAACCATATTTGCCGCGCATTTCAATGTGAACGGATGCATTATAGTCTTTGTTTCCTTTTATTATCAACGCAAACAAATACACACCATCGGATTGAATTATATACACTGGATTGTTGGCCACTTGTGGTTTACGATTTGATAGGATTGGTCGAGTTTCGTTCGCCTTCAAGGATTGATCATTTAACTGTTTGATTCGATTTTTGACATCATTTGATGATTGATATTCAAGAAGAGGTATATGACCACCATTGCTACATTGGGCTGGAATATCATTTTGTTTAATGAAATATGTATCGTTTGTTGTACGCGGTACAACATTTTCGAATGCCATAAATGAATCTTGCCAACATTCGGATAACACTAGTTGCCATGATATTGAAATTGTTGTATTGGGTTGCGGTGAGTCACAAGTAATTAATACAATTATCTCTGAGTCGGCATACAATGATTTTGGAACTGTTACCGATTGTACATTATGGTTCATGACAAAATCCCATTTGCCTTGATCCGGAAAACATTGTGCGCTTGGGCAGATATAAAGTAACAACAATATTGTCACTGGCATTTGCCGCCATATCCGTTTTGATAAGCTCGACATTTCATCAATTCGTTTAATCGTCATGATAAATGATTAGCAACAATATCTAAAAAGAAAAAAAACACACGCACAAAATGTTATCAGAAAACGACATGAAAGCTATGGAGAAAAAAGAACAATGAAATTGGAAATGGGATATTCAATAAAATTAATTGAATGAATGCATACGTTGCCTAAAATTTTGTTCGTATTGATTTTACAATCAATTACAGTTGTTTGATTTTGTGCGATTGGATTTATATCATATTTATTTTTCACATATCGCTCATCGTATTCATAACATGGCTGGCGTGCACGTATAATAAATACAAATCCAAGTAGACAGCGCCACAAATAAATTCTTTGAATAAAGAAAAGAACAAAAAAGATTAACACAACAACGCACAAATCCACAACCAAACTTTCGTAAACCAAAACAGGCAATTGGAACATCGACTATTGCTATAAGTATAATGTTGGTTTTTTTTCGTAAATTCAATAAATATTCGCTATCACATCTCAAATAGTCTACGTATATCTCGATACTGATCTTAAATTTAATTTTTGTTTTCAATTGAATTTATTTTGCACGATATTTTAAATTATTAAAGACAAATCAAATGATACGGCATGCGGCGCATATCGCTATCGTTGTCGACGATGGGCAATAATACATTCTTTACGTCAACTCTGAAAAATCAACTTACACATTTAAGTGTACACACATATACGTAAAAAACAGGCCTGTTCGTGTATGTGCGTATATGTGTGCACTCAACACTAAGACCATTAGTTGAACATGTGTGAAATGTCAATCGTCATTTTAGTTTGCGTAAAAAAGTCCATTTTACAGAACCATTGTGTATATATGTAGCATACGTGGAAAATTTTCATAATTATTTATGATTATAATTTAAATCAAATGATATCAAATGTCAATCACATCTAAAAATCGACAGCATCATATTTTATTATGAATACATTTTTAGGTCTCTGAATAACATATTATTATACGTATTATTTATAACTTGTTTAACGATTATTTTCAATTTGTATTGTTCGTTCAGCAATCTGTTTAGTTCGATTAGCGAGTTCGATAATATTTTGTTGAAGTTGTTTTATCTCTTTTTTCTGTAATTCGCCAACGGTTTGCTGAAAGTCCATAAGTTCTTTGCGTGTTCTGTTTCGATCTGCAACCAACTTTAGCAGATGTTCATTGTTTGACAATGTGAACATCGGTTTTTCATTTTCATCGAGAAGCTGCTCCAGTGTATAGAGTGTATGACCGTCACCGTCAGCCTGAGATTATAATTTTCTACCATAAATGAATTAAATAATAAATAATAATAATGAATTAAATAATAATCATTAAATTACCATTTCCAATTACACAATTATCTTATAAATTAAATTAAAAAGTTTCTCTTCTGTTTTGATAAGAAAATCGTTTCGAGCAAGCAATGTCACTATGTCACTGTCAAAGTTGCTAGAATGAGTGTGCTATCACCGGCATACATGTTGACCACCGTTTTACATCAGAAGCACATGTAACAGAGCAACAACATCAATTCACTCCAAGTGTATTTTGGGGTAAAAACCTTTTTGCAGATCATGCGCACGGCTAAATTTTCTTCTCGAATTCATTTCATTGGAATGTGCAAATTGCATGTGGAGAATGTAAACAAATCATATTTTTCTCCTATATTTTCGTTTCTTTGAAAATTTAGCTAAATACAAAACCTTAAAGAAAATTGAACGAATTATACTTCAATTTCAAAATGAATATTTTCAACGCTCAACATTGGTTTATTTATTTTATGATTTTCTTGAATTTGTTCTTTTGTTTAATGATCAATCAAAATTATGTCGAATCATTTACAGTGACAAATTTACGTGGTCGTGACTTTTCAGGTGACAGTAGTTTTGAATTTGATTTACTAAATCAATCGTCTAGATTTAAAAATAATGTTTTCACGGCCAATCGAGACTCAGACGTTTTAGTAAGGCTTGCATATCGTACATTTCCGAAGTCTATTCGAGAATCAACAGTTCTTGCAACTATTCAAATGAACAACACCAATGGTGGCTATTTATTCAGCGTCCTAAATCCGCTTGGAACTGTTGTACAGTTCGGTCTTTTTTTGGTGCCCGCAAATCGATACGTTTATAATATATCTCTAGTATATACCGATGCAAAACTACATTTGAAGAACCAAAACTTGGCTGTGTTCCAAGTGCCAGCGTTCAAGGAGGAGACTGCTGTTGCTATAAAGGTTTTCTTGAGCAAGGTAATGCAATTGTTTCCAATAAAATATTGATTTATTTGCATTATTAGCATTATTTGATTTTTTTTTATTCTACCCTTAGGTAACGCTCTATCTAAATTGTCATGAAGTTGGATCGGTTATTGTAAACAATGTGGATCCAGTTGAAATAAAAATTGACTCCGATTCTAGACTTTATGTGGCCAGCGGTGGTCCATTATCACCAGAAAAATTTGATGCAAGTGCAAAATAAAATGAATTTAAATTTTTGACTTCTTTATTTTTGAAAAAAAAAAAAAAAAAAACACATTCATGTTGAACTTCATTCTAGGGAAAAATTGTCTCATTGAAACTGTATAGCGATCCAGAAACGATAAACAAAGTGTGTGCAGGAAATATTTGGGTAAGTTTTATTTGGATCAAACTGCGAATTATTTAATGTGATGTAATTACAATTGAAAGCGATTTGAAACATTTAATACATTTTTTTTGACAGGCTGATCAACCGATGCTGTTTACTATGCCCCCAATGTTTTATACAACGCCGCAGATTATACCTCAAACAGCCAGTTCACCGCCGATTTCTTTCATCGAAGATGATTCTGATAACTTTCCTGTCACTGATCCAGCCGACATATCTACCGTTACACCAAAATCTAAGTTTTATGTGAGCCAAAATAATAAATTTATTGATTTGAGAATCATTTGTTCAAACAAAGAAGTATCTTTTTAGCTTCGAATTGCCGCACTTAATGAACCGTACGCAGGTAATTTACACGGGACAAGAGGTGCAGATTTTTCGTGTTATCGACAAGCTGTTCGTGCGGGAATCGTTGGCAGTTTTAAAGCATTTTTATCAACACGGTAATAAAATGATTTTAATTTAATTAATAGATGTTTGCAAGATTACATGATCGACATAATTTCAGAATTCAAAGTCTACAAGGTTTGGTCAGCTATATGCATTGGGATGTACCAATAGCAAATATCAAAGGTGAAATGATATTTCGTTCGTGGAAAGATTTGTTTGATACAAATGGAGAATTCTCATTTCAATCACCGCGGCTATACAGCTTCAATGGTCGAGACGTATTGCATGATAGTACTTGGTAAAGGAAACAGGAAACCTTAAGGAGAATTACACAAAACCCATTTTGCATTCAGAAAAGTTCATGTTTAAATTTTCTAAATTGTGTATTCGTGCCGAGTGGAATGGAATTTTTGGAATGTGTACAATGTACATGCCAGTACTAGATACCAGAATTTTCGTTCTAAATTGCTATTTACTTTTCTTAGTAATAATTATTACTAATATTGAGTTTTACAATAGTGGATCTCTTGATATTTAATTAGAAGTATTTAGTGTATATTTTATCCGTATTAAGCGAAATCAGCTATTATTTATTTTAGTGGACTTATTTTTCTTTTTCTTCTGTATTCGTAGGCCACGAAAGCAAATTTGGCACGGTTCAAATATAAATGGCGATAAATCGATTGAAAGTTTTTGTGCGACTTGGGAATCGATTGGTTTCGATAAAACTGGAATGGCTGGCAGTTTATCGTATCGAAGGCTAATAAACATTGAAAATATATCATGCAAAGATGAATTAATTGTACTTTGCATTGAGACAATTCCAAGGGAAGAAGTTCCTCCCAATACCAATTAAAATTGTTCAAATCAACTACTATGCGCCCATCTAGATGCTGGAAATTGTTCATCGTACTTACAATATTTAAATAAAATATGAATATTCTACCTGGAGTTGATCAGAAGAATGAAAAAAAAGGAAATTAATCAATAAGTAATGGAACGGAATGGAAAATGAAATTATAAAAGAATGTATATACTTTATAGTTAAGTAAAGTATATACTTATAGTTTAAAAGCAAATTAATGACCACAACAACATTGCTTTAATTTCAGATTTGGTACTGGCAGTAGTAGTAGTGTTGAGATCATTGATCACTGTGAAAAAGAGAAAAAAATAAAGAGTCTTACAGGAGTAAGACGAACTTTTCCGCACGGTGGTAGATGCGTATTTTATTAAGCTAGTTCAAAAAAATATTTGTTCGATTTTTTAAGCTTTTCAAGCGGCGTAAAGTTCGAGACCAAAAAATATGTTTCAACCTTGGCATCGAAATATTCTTTAATTTAATAGCGGAAGTACTCGCAAAAGATTTTTAACATCTTCATGATGAACCGACAAAATCCCATACAAAATATTTGTTTTTGAGCCAAAAATTGAAAATGTTGTATAGAAGGGACCATTCTAATTTGCATTGAAATTGCTTCAAACTTTCTAAATGTTATTTTTTTGTGTAAAAATAGTCTGTGCAAAGTTTCATGTCATTACGATACCATACAGGCATGGCTCCCATACAGAAAATCATTTTTTTTTTGTGTTATTTTTTCAAAGAAACTGTATCAAAAATTGATTGTATCTCAAAATCAACCTCGGATTCGGTTTTCTCGTGCCAAAAAAACCTCTCAATACATATTTTTGAGTGTTTAAGTCTACATAAAGTATGACTTTTGGAAGAAAATTGGACTTTTTTTCATAGGTATCACATCAGACATGAAATTATCGTCCATCAACCACAGTCGCTCAAAATCTAATGATTTCTATTCCTCGCGACCCTCAATCATCCTGTACACTCAGATTTTAAATAACTTTTCTGGGGGGTGAGATAATCGATGGACAAATTTTGCGTACGGCGGACAACGTACGGCGTTAGAATATCGATTGATGGTATGCGTTATGTAAGCCTGTGGTATTCCGCAGTGACCTTTTATCGGCGAATTTGCAGCGATTTTCGTATTTCCCGGTGCATACACGATGGACTGTTGGAATTTCTTTGTCGATTTTGGTCATGTCACGGGCCACTTGATGTGCGGCAACTTGACGTTGAATGTGCTTGTCCAGCTTTAATCGGGCCACACTCGTTGGTAATGCACTTGGCGTGAATCCATGAACATATTCAAGTGGTATTGCAAGTATAGGTGGTCATAATCAAATGCGCCAATCTATTGTCTCAATTTGTGTTTGCGCTTACGTGCACCGGATAGAGCGTGCAACTTTTTCGCTGTCAATTTGTAGCTCCATTAGAGTGTACTTTTCAAATCACGGCTTGTTGTCGATCGTAATACTTTGGCACCCGGATCATCAACAATGATCTTTGTGATTTGACCAGCCTCAAATGCAGCCTTAATGTCCGCCGGACATTTTGATGGCTCTATTTTCTCACGATTTTTCTTTTTTCCCTTCTTGCTTTTGCTTTTGCTCTTTTTGGTGCTGATTTTGGCCGGTGCACTCGTGTCACGCTTTCGACGAATCATTTTTGGGCATGCTGTTACACCGTCGGTCGTAAAGTAGTTGCCGAATATTTTACCAGTACGATTTATTTTACGTAAATTTACAAACCGGTTCCAAAATGCATCGTATCGGGCATTATCCCAATTTTTCATGTCTGCTTTACTTGTCTTATCGTCATTGCGGGTATAAAATAGATTTGTAAGCTCAACGAAACTTTCCATGTCCAATGCAATATGTTTGTGTTTGTTTTTCGATCGCGGAATAGCGATTCAATAATAGTTCAATAATGCCGTGTCTCAGAAAATAATTGCGAATGTGATCTTTTCCATATTTGTGGCGCACAGCTGGTATGCGAATTTGATCACTTGTCTTAGATTGTTGATTACACGTCGCACTGGAATATTATTTTCCCGGAGATATCGTTCGAATTCTTCGTTCAACGGGAAACCATCGTTATTCAATGCATAAAAATACTTTCGGGCTTTGAAAATCACAAATTGGTCACTCAAAGATGACATCATTTATTTGGATCTATGTAATTCGATTTGCTAAATTTCATTCAACTTCGACTTTTAGTGTGAAAATCGAAAAATTGACATTTCTGTCCCAAGAAGTGTGTCACAAATTCAAATCGGGACATTTTTGGACATCACAAATTAATCACTAAAATACTGCATCATTAATTTTTTGAAATTTTGTTTTGTTTCGAATTTTTCCAAAAAAATTATAGACTTTTTGATGAATAGGCTCTTTCAAATTTAGGCCTGTAAATTTTTTTTACTGGTGAGTCACAAATTCTCAAAATTGCGTCACAAATTTTTACTAATTAATTCTGTGAATTTTGAGCCCAATCGGGTACTTTGACCCCCTGGGTAGTGTAAGCCTTTGGTTCGTGTTGCTACAGAATTTGAATTTGATTTTTTCCCGTTGAATTCGTGCGCAATTTAAAATTAGTCTCCCGTTTGACACTGGCTTTGACCAATTTAAAAAGCAAACAGGCAAAATCACTGTAATTGTCACAGCAAAAGAATGAAAAAAACACCCCAAGAAATGTGTGCTCAAATGCACTAATCGTATAGCTTAAGTTCTATAAGTTTATGGGTTTCAAATCTTCAGTAACAGATGGTAGAACATGACTTATTTTGCGACTTTGTTCGAACATATTTGACTAATGGTAAAAGTGATGACAAAAATTAAAAATGTATTTCTTGCTAACACTAAATCTGATGGTTTATGGACTTCGTTTATTCCAGCCAATGACATGAAACAAATTTGGATATGAATAGCGATTTCCAAACCATCATGAAATCAAATCGAATTTATATAAGATTTAGTGTTTTAAAAATTTTTGTGAAGATTTTTACATAAAATTAAATTATATTATATATATTTATATTATTTTAAATAAACCACCAAGGACCAGGTTTTAAATAAACCACGCTGTTCGGTGCAATTATTATTATTATTTTTAATTTTACATAATAATAAATTTATTTTGATAAATTTGTACTATGCACACAGCGGATACTCAGTAACAATGCAAAAATTAAATCCAATTTAAATTCTACGAACGAACGAACGAGCGCAATATGATTCTAAGAACGAACGAACGAACGAAAATTGAATAAAAAAAGCTACGAACGAACAAACCGTTCGTTCGTTGCTGTTCGTTGACAGATCAATTTAAAACAAATACTAAGCGCCGCTCAATAAATTTTATTTTTCTGTTATTGTAATTATAATTTTATCGTCAATACTCGGACGTTTGATCTGAAATTTCCTCACCAATTAGTCATAAGTTCATTTATATTATTATTTTATTATTTTTATTTTTTATTATTTCCGTTTTATTTTTTTCATTTTATATTATTTATGTATTTTATTTATTTATTAATTTTATTTATTTATTTATTAATTTTATTTATTTATTTATTTTATTTATTTATTTATTTCATTTATTTGGTTTGCTTATTTTTATTTTATTATATTTTTTGCTATGCTATTTGCCATTTTGTTTCAATGATGTTAACGTAATTTAGTTCTAAGTATTAATTATTGTATTTCCCCTGATTCTCCTGAGTCAGGCCGGTTTTGCCATGGTTTTCCGGACCCAATTCTGGTATATAAAGCTTCTCTTTTATACCATCCCTCCCCTGACTGTATTCTGTTTGCAAAAGACGCACCATGGGCGGAATTAACGCCGTATTGGGTCTCTGACCAGCATGTTCCCAGCTTGCTGGGAACACGTATTGGCGTAAATGTAGGCTTCGTAATAAATAAAATAAATAAATAAGATCTGCCCATGGCCATAGATTGGCACCGAATCGATGCGCTCCCTTCATTTATTCATCATCTTTTCTCCCTTTGTTTACCTTGATTTGCCATAATCTTCGACAGTGTTAGCGGTCTAAAATAACACAAAAATCACAATGGTTTGGCATCGGCTTCGTACTGTCAACACGCATTTCCAACTAAACAAAAATACGAAGTAAATGCCACGTATTGTACGATAAAATATTTTTGTTATTGAATTGTGTTGCGAATGAAAAATGTTTCGATGTAAATACAAGAAATACAATAAACAAATAACTGAAATCAAATGTATACGACATGTAGAATTTGTTTATACTTCTTCTTATCAGATGTTTTGTTGATTTACATTCGATATGCAGATGGAATTGACACATCCACCAGTTGCATTGTATGCATTTCTGTCCACTTTTTCCGTCTAATTCCTTTTTACGAATAATAAGTAATGGAACAGAATGGAATATGAATCGATTGGATCAGGAATTGTAGAGTAATGGAATAGTAATTTTTAAGTAAGTATGCATGAATATTCTATTTTCGGTTAGAATTTTTATTTTATTTTACACAATGAACTCAGAAATGAGTGTTTCATATTGAAATAAAATAAAATGATAATGAAAAAAACGAAGGCTGATTTTCTAACTAAACGAAACTCAGTTTGTGAAATAAAAACGTGGCTTTAAGCTGAAATCGTTTGAGATTCCTCTTCTTCATTTTCAGATTCTTCATAAATAACGTCACATTTAAGAATTGATTTCTTCATTTTTCTCGAATTTGATGGTGACTGTGGCGGTTGCATGTCTTCCATCATAATTTCTGGTTGTTCAAAATTCATTTGTTTATACATTATGCCATTTTGGTGCATTTGAGTTGCACGCAATTTTTCGGTGAGCAGCCGTAAATCTTTATCTTGTGCCTCAATAATTCCTTTAAGTTCTTCTATTGTACGTACATCTTCAGCACGCGGCTCTCGTCTTTCGTATCTTATTCGCATCTCTTCAAACCTGAAAATTAAAACAAAAACGGAAAAAATATATTTTTTCATATCGCATTGTCTACGTCGAAAATTCCATATCAAAGTGTCTAGATTTTTGCAGACACCGATTACGTTCAAACAAGCTTATGGGAGTAAAAAACTAACCAGTAAAGTCAAGTAAAGTACCCAAAGTGTTACAAAAATTGTTTACTTTCCTTAGTACAGATCGATGTAAAGTGCCGAAAAAAGAGTTTGTGAAAATAAGGGGTGCTCATACCATGGAGGGGGGGGGGGGACAAAGAGCACCCCACCATGTTAAAATTTGGTCGGATTAAAAAATAATGTACTACAAAGTTGTTCAGAATGACGCGAGAAATTTTTTATGACCCCTGCCCTCCAAGTCTCCCCACCCCCAGGGGGTCGGGGGTCATAACTCCTTCACCCATGACTTTTTTCACTCGAAACTTCGAAATTCGGAATCAGCATCCCAAATTACTCTAGAAATGATATTTGTCTCGAGCCCATTCACCCCAAGTCTCCCAACAATTCAGAGCCTCCCCATTAGGGTAAAATGATGAAAAGTCGATTTTTCACTTTTTGGGTGCGGAATTTCGCACTCAAATGTACGGCCAACTATAACTAATTTTTTCCGCACATTTAATTTAGGCCATTGCCCATTCCCTCCCATCACCCCCAAGAGGAGTTCCCCTACAAAATTCACGAAAATTTCGAAAAATAGCCCGAAATTGGGTCCATATTCCATCCAATCCCAAAATCAATTACATATTCGGATGCCCCGCGAAAAATTTCTCGCGTCATTCTGAACAACTTTGTAGTACATTATTTTTTGATTCGACCAAATTTTTATATGGTGAGGTGCTCTCCTGACCCCTAGACCCAAAAGGCCTTTATTTTCACAAACTTTTTTTTTCGGCACTTTACATCGATCTGTACTATGGAAAGTAAACAATTTTTGTAACACTTTGGGTACTTTACTGGTAAGAAAAAAAGTCCATCTCGATTATATCACCTGGAAGTGATTCATTAAAATGCTTCATACTTGAAGGTTTAAATGGTTTAAATGAATGATGTTTTTGACGTTTTACGAAGTTCAAGCTGACATTTTTTCCTTAGTTTTTTACTCCAATAAGCCCGTTTGAAAATTTTGAACGAAATCGACGACTTAAAAATGATTTAAATAAGTAAGGAAAAATGCTTATTGTACAATTTGGTAAGGCATCGACATTTTCTATGCAGTGTTTCGATTTCCTGAGAATTTTGCAGATCACGTTTTTCAAGTGAAGATCGTTCCATTGAGTGGGCATTTTGTAAGTCTTTGATCTCGCGCTCATGCAGTATTTCCATATCGCTGAAACGATTGTCAAAAACAAGTCATATTTAGAAAAAAATATGACCAAATGAAATATATTTTAAAGAAAAATATTCTCACCGTATTTTACTCTCCGCATTGGATAATTTTCGTTTGTAATTTCGCTGAATATCTTGTTGCTCATCCTCCTTTTCTGCCTTGAATTTCTCATAATTAGTTTCTATATACAGAAATAAACATTTATTAACGCAAATACCACATGTTTACGGTCAAAATTAGCGCCACATGTGAGTTTCAGTAATTTGTGACATTAAACAATGGATTAAAAAGAAACCTTCCAAATTTAAATGTTGGTTTTTTTTGGGAGCCATAAAATATGAGTCAATCAATTTTCATAATTTCGGCTATTTTTAAGGCTAAAAATTGAATTTGGATTTTCAATAAAAATTGTTGGGGCAATTTTCAATTTTTCGTTCATAAAATGTCCACCAAATGTCGTATTAAAAAGCCAAAGACATATTCGAGAGTCACAAATTAATCACTAAAATTTTGCATCATTTCATTAGAAATTTTGCGTAGTGGCTTTTGAATTTTTTAAATTCGTCCGACTTTAAAAAAAATACTCCGTGTGTGTGTACATTTGTATTGGTTATGGCAGAAAAATCATTAAAAATATGTAGGATACAATCGGCTGATCACCGATTTATCTAAATTAACTGATCAACAGAAACCAGAAAGATAATAATTCTTATCTGAAGGCCCTATGCTCCGCTAGGAGTTAAAGGAAATGAAAATAAAAAAAAAGCTAAATATTTCAGTGAAAAACACACATGCGCACGGTTTTTTGGTCATCGTGAGGGGTCAAATTGACTTTGGCGTTTGATCTCGAAGAGGGAGGGGGTATTTATATGGAAAAACTAAAATAACAATTTTGAATGAGAGAAACAAGTAACAATGTGTGTATTTTGCAAGTTTGACTTCAAAATCAGGCTATTGTTTATACAATTATATGGCCAATCTGAGGAAAAAATTCTCAGAGGGGGGTCAAATCGGAAACCCCCCAGCGCGCATGTGTGGTGAAAAATATCATAAAAGATAGAGAGTTTTTGTCCATCCGCATAAATCTCCATGTCCGTCAAGCCTAAGTCGATTTTAAGCCATTTAATAATTTTGGGGTGATTACAATAATTCTATTGGTGAGATCTAAAAGAACGCAAGTGTATTCGACTTTGTCGCAATAAAGGGATGTAAGTTTTTTCTTGGCTCAAAGTTTTTAAAGGAAAGTATGTATTTCGGCTGAATCAGTTGTTGGAAAAGAGATGCATGTTTCAGTGTTTTCGTTTGGATAAAAGAACGTAAGTGACTTTGTTCTGGAAGTGGGCTTTTGTGAATCCTCAGGATCTTTCAGAACTGCTCCTAGTTCTGGAAGTGGACTCTCAGGATGGGCCAGGGCATTGTCAAACCATAGTCTGGTCCATCCTGAGGATCCACCAAAACCCACTTCCAGAACTGGGAGCAGTTCTGAACAATCCTTAGGATCCACCAAAGCCCAATTCCAGAAAAAATCGTTATAACATGCATCCCTTTTTTAACAACTGATTCAGAATCACTTAATATCCTTTTTCAAAATTTATTTAGTGCGAAACATGCATTCCTTTATCAACAACTGATTCAGCCGAAAATAATACTTTCCTTTAACAAATTTTTTTCGGTGTAAAACATACTTCCCTTTCAGTAAGACAGAATTGGAAAAACACATACATTTCGAAAATTTAAGGCGAAAAAAATCGCGAAAAATGAAAAAAATATTTAAATTTTTTTCTTCAATTTACAAATACTTCTCAATTTTCTGTATCATCTGATGAAATCAGAATGAAAAAAATAGCATTCTTTATCACCCAAATCAGGATATGGATTTATTTTTTATTTTTTGAGTGCTCTATAGCGAGTCTCCGAGAGTTTCATATAAACTTCTCATTTAACACCTATTGAATAGTGACTGAATGTCAATCGTGATTTAGATGATAAGGAATGCGAGTTTTTTCATTCTGATTTCACCAGATGATACAGAAAATGTAATAGTATTTGAAAATCGAAGAAAAAAAATGTAATTATTTTTTCATTATTCACAAGTTTTCATCATCTACATGGCAACCTTATATGAAACTCTCGGAGACTCGGTATAGAGCACTAAAAGTAAAAAAAAATTCAAATTTTTTCTTAATTCTCGACCACTTCTATCTATAATTTGAAATAAAAAATCGCTACGAACGAACGAACAAACGAACAAAATTTTTATTTTTCAATTCCTACGAACGAACGAACGAATTTTTTTTTCCAATTTCTACGAACGAACGAACGAACAAATTTTTTTTTTCATTTCCTACGGACGAACGAACGAACACAATTTAATTTTTAAATTTCTACGAACGAACGAACGAACAAAAATGTTATTTCTATTGCCCACGAACGAACGAATGAGTGTTCGTGGATGTTCGCAGCCAACACTAAAATGATATCAAATAAAAAACCTTTACCGAGGTGAAGAACGAGTGACGGAACCAAAATTGGAAACACAAAATTTCTGATATCAATTTTGTGACGAAAATACATAGTTGGTAGATATTTTTTCTGTGTACAAAGTAATCTTACATACATACCAAACTGCAGTTTCGTGGAAGTTTGCTTACCATATTCTCGTTTTATTTTGGCTATCATTTCAGCTTTGTAGTTGCTTATGTCTTCCACAGACTTGCGTTTTATGGCTTCAACTTTTTCTTCGTAGTTCATCTTCATTTCAGCTTCTTTCTCTTCAAATTCAACCTTCAATTGATCTAAAAAACCATTACAAAGGTTTTTGATTTTGTGTTTTATCTCAGACGGAACAATGTTTGCAATCAAGTAATCAGTATTTGATTTTAAAAAATTATTCTAACCCTCTCAAAATATATGATTTGACCATGCAGCTCAAAGCAATTTTATTGATTTTAGTGATTTCACTTGAAAAAACGAACCACTAAAGTGCACGGAATGTTACAATTTATTTTAAAAATTATTCAACAAATTTTGTGACACGTCGTACACTTTACTGGTTGAATAAAATCGTTTTTTGCATCATTTTAATTTTATTTCCCGTATTTTTCATCGTATGGTTTGATATGATTCGGTCAAAGTATCCACAATACATTCAGTTTTTTTAAGGTAGCAAATATCCATCCAAAATTTAAATTTAGAAAAACCTTTCTTGGTGTGACCCTCATGTGTCCACTAAGACTTATCAAGAGCTTTTAGCTAACTGTAATTTTTTTGGTCTGAAGGGAGTACCCACATCCATACATTTTTTGATCATTTTTCAACCATTTTGGTGACACGATGGTTTCGTGCTCAGACATGAAATTAAAAATCTGACTTTACGAGATGATTGGGCACTACGAGGAATAGATCTGGTCACATTTTCAACGACATTGATTGATCGGTGTAATACTTAGACTCTGAAGAGGCACTTATGAGAAAAATGACTTAAAATGATATTCTTTCAATTTGAACGCTGGAAGAACTCGTTTAAAGCCAATACGACTTTTACTACCCGTATTAGAAGAATTCACGCTTCGTGTACACTCGGCACATCTTCGCTGCTTAGGCAGACTACTTAGTAAAGTAATTTAAGTTACTGCAACCATACATAGACCAACATTTCGGTTCCATGCGGAAAAGTCAGCTTGCGTACGTAAGCCTCTTTATTTTCTCTGTGCGTGTTCTCCAATTTTGTCAATAGCATATTTTGAGAAAACTATGCAATTTTTTGAATTTCGATTATTTTTTTAAGGAATTATAAACCAAAACAATCATAGAAAAATAGCTCTCATGTCGAAAAAAATTATTGCATTGGAGGGTTAAAATTAAATAATTACCCATTTGTCGTTCATGTTGAAGTGATTGCGAATGAATTTCTCGTTGATGGCCTTGCTCTGATTTATTCAAAATCATGCGAATTTGCATAATTTGCTTATCAGCTTTGTCATTGGCTTCATCCAAGCGACGATTGCGATCGACCAATTTTTCTTTAATTGCTTCAATCTCATCACTCAATATTTTTTCACGGAAAGCAAACGATTCTTTTAATTGAACGATATCCTCCATATGCTCTCTTTGTGCTTTTTGTACAGCTTCCATATGGTCCTCAGCAAAGCATGTTTCCAACTCATCTTTTAAGCGCAACATCTCATTCCTGCAATAATATTGTGGATGTCACCATACATTATATCTAGATATATATTTATTGCTTGATGCATCTCTTCGCTCGATCGCTGTATATGCTGGACAAAACAGTGGTGTCATTGTGTGCAATTGAAAACAAAATAACACCATTGTTATGTTCAGCATACGTATCTTACGATGCGTTAAATAGGCGCTATTTTTTATTGATATATCAATGGCAGTAATATCTATAGACTTATTGAAAACGAAAGGATTCTCTAATAAAACAAAATACATACAATAGTCGATCTTCCCACATGGCGGCCACTTCACAACGCACTTCATCGATTCGTGTGATAATTTCTCGATCTTTATCACTCAAATCGCTAGAAAATGTATAAAAAATGATTTCGAAAAATATATTTTCAATTGAACTTTAAGGTTTTTAAATGAGTTTTGACTCACGACGCAAATTTAACGGCTATTTTGTGAATTTTCATTGTAGCCTCTTCGAGTTGTTCTGTTGTTTCATCAAGTTTTAATTTCATCTCTTCCAGTTGTTGTGTCAAATAGGTAATAGCTTGACGTTGTTCATTTGTGAGACCACGTAGTGCTGATAATTCTGCTTCACATGTTTTTAAGTGCTTGATCTATTAAACGATTGATTTTTTTTTTCAAAATTTTTACCAGTAAAGTACTGTGTTACTAAAAGTTTTAAATTTCCTCAGTACAGATCGATGTAAAGTGCCGAAAAAATAGGTTTGTGAAAATTGAGGGTTCCAATAGGTGTATTAATGGCAGGGTACCATCTCACCATGTCAAAATTTCGTTGGATCAAAAACTAATGTACTACAAAGTTATTCAGAATGACGAGAGACATTTTTTATTACCCCTGCCCTCGAACTTGGGAGGTCGTTGGCCATAACTCCTTCACCCATGATTTTTTTTCATTTGAAACCTCGAAATTCGATAGCAGCATCCAAAAATACACAAGAATTGATATTTGTCTTGTGCCCATTCGCCACAAGTCTCCTAGCAATTCAGTGCCCCCACATTGGGGTCAAATGCTACAAAGTCGATTTGACACCTTTGGGCGATCAACTTCATATCAGAATTTCTTACCAACTATAGCCAATTTTATTCGTACATTTCATTTTTGCTATCTCCCTTATTTTCACAAACTTATTTTTTCGGAACTTTACATCGATCTGTACTAAGGAAATTTAAAACTTTTAGTAACACTTTGAGTACTGGTAAGATTTAATTTGGAATCGAGTTTTTTTACCGTAGCTTTTGCGATTTTTGGTAAAATCGCAAAATGAGTCGCGTTATGCCATTTGTTTCTGAAATAGTTGAAACACATAAGCTACTGTTGGCTACGAACGTTCGTTCGTTCGTTCGTAGGCAATAGAAATAACATTTTTGTTCGTTCGTTCGTTCGTAGAAATTTAAAAATAAAATTGTGTTCGTTCGTTCGTTCGTAGGAATTGAAAAAAAAGAAATTGTTCGTTCGTTCGTTCGTAGAAATGGAAAAAAAAAAAATTGTTCGTTCGTTCGTTCGTAGAAATCGAAACAAAAAAATTGTTCGTTCGTTCGTTCGTAGATTTTGATAAATAACAATTTTGTTCGTTCGTTCGTTTGTTCGGTCGTTCGTAGCGATTTTTTATTTCAATATTTGACCAAAAAGGAATCAATTATATTATACACTTATGTCCTGATTTTTAAGTATGAATCAATTTATTTTTATTATAGGGCAGGAAGTGATATTGAGATATTTATATTATTTTTGTGTACATTTTTGCGAAAAATGAAAAATTAGTGAAATCATTTTTATAAGCTCCTTCCCATTTCTTCACTATCTTTCTCCATCACCCCCCTTAAATTTTCCCCTTGAGGACGTATGCTCGATCAAATATTTTTTCAACAAATCATTTTCAACCATCCAAAGTGTAGGTACTTTATCTGCTTCTAGTCGTTCGCTCCATATTTTGAAACTTTTCAAATAATCTCTGATTATTTCTAGATCATTTCGTGGAATATTAGTCAATTTGTGCATAACATCAGCATTTTTAACTGCTTGTTCTTTCTCCAATAAAATTTGTGCCAATTGTGTATAATTCAAAGCGAATGAGTTCAAAGTGTAATAAACAGTATTCCAACGAACTTCAATATGTTTTTGCAATTTTGGGTTGCATGTTTCACCTAAGCCGCTATTCCGTATGAATGATACCTTTGCTTAAAAATATTGCACTAGCAACTGAAATTGAACGAGATGATGTGTATGGTGTTATTGATGATTTCATTTGGAAATTAGAACCGTTTCATCAACAAGGTGAAGAAAATTTGAACGAATGCGTGAACATCAACACCGAGAATCAAGACATTTTGGAAACATTCATGGGCCCTTCCAATGTCGAATCAACACCACACAGTAATTTGACTGAAGAATTGCAAAGATACTTGCAAGCGAAAGTAATGCCAACAAACCCATATGATTTTGATTTATGTGGGTGGTGGTATGAAAATCGTCATACATTTTCAAAATTATATCAATTATTCGTGTCAAAGGCCGGAATAACTGCATCTTCGGCACCATCGGAACGAAAATTCAGTGAGACTGGCATAGTAATAACAGCACGACGTTCAAATTTATTGCCAGACACCGTTTCTGACTTAGTTTTGGCACGAAACAGTCTCATGGAATTTTTATAAGTTGTTCATTTTTCGCAAAAATTTACACAAAAATAATATAAATATCTCAATATCACTTCCTGCCTTATAATAAAAATAAATTGATTCATACTTTAAAATCAGGATATAAGTGTATAATATAATTGATTCCTTTTTGGTCAAATATTTGAAATAAAAAATCGCTACGAACGAACGAACAAACGAACGAACGAACAAAATTGTTATTTATCAAAATCTACGAACGAACGAACGAACAAATTTTTTTGTTTCGATTTCTACGAACGAACGAACGAACAAATTTTTTTTTCGATTTCTACGAACGAACGAACGAACAATTTCTTTTTTTTCAATTCCTACGAACGAACGAACGAACACAATTTTATTTTTAAATTTCTACGAACGAACGAACGAACAAAAATGTTATTTCTATTGCCTACGAACGAACGAACGAGTGTTCGTAGATGTTCGCAGCCAACACTAACATAAGCTTACAGAACTTCAGATTTACAGAGCACACATTTCCATACTGTATGCGTGTAAGTTCAAAGAATATACAAAAGCGTGAAGTTTTAACTGTGACAGAAATAGATGGCGTAACAATGTACAAATGCATGCTTATTTAAGATATGTTTTCCAGTAAAATTGGTCGATTTACTTTATCTTGTTGCGTTTGCGATACAGCTACCAATTTGTCCGATGTCTCAATTGCCTCCTGCTTTGCTTTCTCGGCTGTATTGATTCGATCTTTGCATGCTCTTTCTGTTGATCTGATCTTCCATTCACAGTCTTGTAGTAAAAGTTCTTCGCGATCTAGAATCCAAAAGAGTTCAAAATTCAATACATTCATCGTAAGAGTTTTATTCGAAACGTATTAAAAATATTGGGTGTGCCAATTAATTTTAAAGGATTTTTGTGTGAAAAGATACATTTATTTAAAAACAACTGTACAATATTTTTTAACCAATGTATTGCCCATCGTTAGCTATGACTTCCGCCCATCTTCTTGGTAACTTGTCGATTCCGCGTCGAAAGAATTCCTCATCTTTTGACGCTATCCATTCATCGATCCATTTTCGCACTCCTTCAGGATTTCGAAACGATATCTCAGACAAGCCCATTTGCATTGATCGAAACAAGTGGTAGTCAGAAGGGGCAAGGTCTGGAGAGTACGGGGGGTGATCAAGCCGATCCCAACCGAACGCCTCTATCTTTTGTTTGACGATGTGTGCTCGATGTGGCTTAGCATTGTCGTCGTGAAACAAAACTCGATGGTGTTTTCTCGCTACCAACGGCCGTTTTTCGTTCAATGCATGCGCCAATTTGTTCAATTGTTGTCGATAGCGTTCAGCTGTAACCGTTTCACCTTGTTTTAGCAGCTCATAATACACGATACCTTTCTGATCCCACCAAATGCACAGCATGACCTTCTGGCAATGAATGTCTCGTTTTGGCTGCGACGGTCCTGCTTGGCCTGGATCAACATACGCTCCTTTACGTTTTGGGTTATCGTAATAGACCCACTTTTCATCGCCAGTAACAATTCGACTCAAAAAACTATGTTTTTTGTGCTCGGCAAGATGTTGTTTGCATGCTGTGATTCGTGCTCTCAATTGATTTTCATTCAGTTGATGTGGTACCCATTTTCCCAACTTTCGAATCTTTCCCATTGCATGCAAACGCACAGAAATGGTTCTTCGGTCGACATTCAACTCCATTGCAAGTTCTTCTTGCGTTCGACATGCATTTTCATCGAGTATTGCTTGCAAATGTAGCGGTAGCCGCAACGCAACGTATATGTTTATTACATTTAAATAAATCAGTCTTGACTCAACATACATACTATATAGTCGTGTTTCACTCCCACTATTTATACATTTCAGCCTATTATATATACCTATCATATCATATATAAATCTGCATCTTCAAACTTTTTTGGCTGACCTGGCCGTTCTTTGTCATCCACGTCCAAATTACCACTTTTAAAGTGTCGAAACCAATACTCACAGGTTGAAATCGATAGAATATGATCACCGTAAGTATCTGAGATCAAACGATGACTTTCTAAAGAAAGAAGAAAAGTAAAACTTCCCGCAAATGCTGTTTTTTTTTGGCACGTAGGCTGACATGATTTTAAGCGAAAAAAAATATGTTGTTTACACTTTGACAAAATAAAATACAGTACGTTCCATCGTTATTTTAAACAAAAAATTCAAATATCTTCAAAATCTTTTTGGTGTCGCTAGATGACACTCCAAGCTACGACGGAAAATAAATTTGACAGTTTTAAAATCAGTGCAATGGTTATTGTACAACGAAAATATGAATTCGGAATATTTTCATAAGCGTTTTGAAGCAGTGTTTTTGCATTTGCATCCAGAAGGACCACAATGGTCGCAAGCAAAGGTCGCAAAATACATTAAAAAGTCGAAAGGGTTCGTAAATAAGAAGATCCAGCAGTATAAGCGTGAAAAAAATGTGAACGATCAGCCCAATATGAAGCCAAACCTAGCCACCTAGCCACAACAAGATAAACGGATAGTCAAGTTGTTCGATGAAAATCCAGGTATGACGTTGAATCAAGGCGTTGAACAGCTACGGCGTTTTAAAATAGACGTCTCGAAGACCACGCTCAAAAGAAAATTGGATGTTGCCGGTGTTCGTTATCGTAGTACAACCAAGAAACTCCTTTTGACAGAAAACCAGAAGAAAAACGCATTGACTGGGCAAAGCAAAATTCAACAAGAGATTGGAGCGAAGTTATATACACTGACGAATCATTCTTTTGGCTGGTGAATAGCACTACCCATGCCTAGTCTAGAGCCGAAAAGAGAGTGGTTGTTCTCACGGTAAGCACCCGCAAAAGGTGCATGTTTATGGTTGCTTCTGTGAAGCTGGTTTTGGAAAGTTGACCCTATTCACAGGCATTCTAAACGCCGTGACGATGAACCAACTTTATTCGTCGACACTGTTACCCACCGCCAAGAAGTTCAATGGCAACGACAATTTGAATTGGCTTCTACTAGAAGATAATGATCCAAAACACAAAAGTCGTCTCTGCACCGCTTGGAAAGAGGAAAATGGCATTCGACAAATGGACTGGCCGCCACAGTCACCCGATTGCAATCCGATCGAGAACGTTTGGGCTATTATTAAGGCAAGGCTTCGTGGTAAAACACACCGCAATTTGAAGCAGCTCAGTGCATTCATACAACGGCAGTGGAAGGGTTGACGCGAATATGCTGAAAATTTGAGCAAAAGTATGCCCAAAAGATGTGCCCGTGTGATCAAGAAAGACGGTGACTGGATAAAATATTGATTGTGCCCGCCGTAGCTTAGAACTCGAATAAAATGTATATAAAAATAATTTTGCAAAACTAATGTATTTTGTTTAAAATATGGCGTTCTCTGGACGATAGAACGTACTGTATATTGAAAACTAGTGTCAAATGACGTGACTTTCACGTGAATATGGTTATAGCATGGTCCGATGCGTTACAGTAAGAGTTACGACATCTCTTATCAATCCTTTAAAATTAATTGGCACACCCAATATGCAAATCAATTTCATATATTGTCCAAATTTAAATGTTTTTTACCTGAATTAAGTGTTCGCATATGTTCGAAATCTCTTTGCCATTTTGCATCATTTTCGGCACGTTCAATAATTGCTGCGTCCAATGCATCTTGTAGAGCTTGACGTTCGACATCTCGTTCGATCTTTAATTTCGCTTTTTCAGAACGTATATCGGTCAAATCATTTTGAGCTGTGCTCAATTGTACTTGCAATGAGATTGCCAATGATTGCATTTGATCAAGTTTTTGCTTCATTTCAATATGATCCGCTTGAAGATTATCTAGAATATAGGCAATGATTTATTCCTCTTCTATTTTTAAAGATCTGAATGAAATCTTACTGTATTTTATGTTAAAGTCATCTTCTTTCTCTGAAAAACTTGATCGCAATGCATCAATGTCACCTTCTTGAAGTTTAAGTTTCATTTTGACACAATTTAATTCCTTGTAAGTTGCTTCCAGTTCTGCTTGTAAGCCTTTTTAAATTAAAATTTATAATGTGTGAGGGAAATGAACTTGGTAAAAAAAACAGTGTTTGGTTAAGATATCTGAAATGTATCTAGATACTTTTGGGATAGTATCTCAATTTTCCGAAATTCATCTAGATATTTTCAAGATTTTCATCTTATCTTTCGAAAAGATAAGATAAAAAAATAAGATAACGAAAATTATTTGAATAAAATTTTGAAAAATGTCAAGGTGAAAAAAAAGAATGTTAATTAATATCTGCTATAAACAAACTTCACGCACTGCGGATATTAATCGGTCCGGGTAATCGGGCCCATGAATCGTGCGTTGAAGTTGTCGGATGTGTTCTGCGAACACTGTGCGTAATACTATGAAATTCCAAATTCGATTTTATCGAAAAATCGTAGTTTTAAAAGCATTACTGTGCACTATTTATCGTCCTATCAGAGGGGATCGTTCGTTTTAGCTTTTCGACAGATATATGGAAAAAATCATACGATGCTTTGACCAAAATACTTATAAACGCCCTTAAAAAATATGATCTGGCAGTGCACAAAATAACACATATTGTTACGAATGGTTCAAGCACCTTTTCCAAAGCGTTTCGAGTTTATGCCATTTATGCAATACGAAGGTGAATTTCTCGAAATTTCTCGAATGCAATCAACTTGATTTCAATGGACGTGCAATGGAATTTGATAACGAAGAATTCGAATATAATTTTGACGAATCGGGTCATGAAATTGATCATTTTCGCTTCAATGAACAAATTAATCATACCGACAATTGATGATTTTTTTTTAAATAAATGACCAAAATATCTTATTATTTATCTTAAAAAATAAAGATAAGATACCAAAAAAATCCAAAAGATAAGATAAAGATAAGATAATTTTTTAAGTTTCTAAAATCATCTAGATAAAAGATAGTATCTATCTTATCTTATCTTCCTATCTCAAACGAGATAAGATATCTTTACCAAACATTGAAAAAAAATAATTGCTCATTTATTATATATAATTACACTTACGTTCGACATTCCATACTTTCACCGTTAAGTCTCGTTCGAGTTCACTGATTTTGTATGTTAGCTCGACTATTTTCTGTTCACTCTCAGCCACATTGCTTTTGGCTTGTGCCAATAGGTTAAGTTCATGCTGTTTCCTTCAGTACAAAAATAAACAACTAATTAATATGCCCAACATTAAATCTGACGTACAAATCATAAAATGAACTCAAAGGTTATATCATTTTCACATAATAGATATAGATGCATCGCACTCTTCGGAAAGGACCAATATTGTTTTGACGATGTGTTGATTTCTTGTCATGAATGAAATAGTTTCAAATGCATTGAAGACAATAATACTTTCCAGTGATTTTCGATTGGAACATGTAAACAGATGCCGATTAAGTGTGCCGAATCAGAATGAGAAAAATAACCGCTTTACAGTATGTGCCAAATTTAGTTATTCAAAAATAAATATTATGCAATTAAACAGAAACACGGCCATGCGCAAAACATCATTTCGCCCTTTTCTTTCTATAAACAATTTTGCCTGATATTTTACAGTGTTAAAAAAGCCATCACCATTGTTTTTGTTATAATAAAATGAATTGCTCTTAAGCAATTTTTCTTAAAAAATGTTTGAATAAAAAGTAGAAGTAGGATTACTATTTTTGTGAAAAGAAAAATAAAAACAAGATATGTAATCTAGTATGTAATCTTTCATATTAAAACAAGTCCGTAATTTGAATTGGTAAAATATTTCAATTTGCTACGAGTGTTTTCGATGTATTTTTTGTGTACGATTAGTCGTACACTGAGATATAAACACGCGCTATAATGACCTAAAAATAAATGTTTCTCAATTGAAACACACACAGTATAAATTGATTAGTTCTAGACGTCTTTTTTTAACTGGCTCATGAAAGGTGTAGCAAGTGATCAAGAAAGCAAGAGAAAATGTGCACAATGCGTTGTTTTTCGTTAGTAAAACGTATCGTACGTTGTTGACTTCATTACTATGTTGCTGAAAATCTAACTTTTTTGACTACACAAAAAAGAAAAAACAAAACTTTTTAGACAATAAAATTGGATTCTTGTCTAAATTTTGGATTTATACAGTATCTAAAAATGTTATATTTCATCTAAAATGTATAGTTCAATTAATAATTCCAATATATGTTTAAAACTGTTAGAACTGTTTAAAGGTGTTTTTCTTTTGTGTGTACTTTTGATATTGAAGCATGTGTCTACACTTCATATCATTGGAAGATTATTTATAATTCATAGAGCGCTTTTTCAAAGATTGGATTTGATGTTGGCAGTATACAAATAACCGCCTGTCTATAGCTATGCATCACTTTGCAGTCAGGCCAACAAATTGTAAATGCTATGCCAATGTTCGTTCAGCCTCTTGTTACTGTTGTTATTAATTTTATCCGTCGATGTCTATAAAAATAAATACGTTTACGTAGTAAAATACGCTCATACAATTCATATCTATGCGAAAGATCGTCGTTATATCTATCCGAGTGGTCGACTACATCAGATACAGACGATCCAAATAAAACTTAATTTGCATTACAGTCTCCAATTTAGGTTGTTTCCTAGCACATTTTATAGATAAAGACTGGCACCTGTAATGTGGCGCATTTCATTTGCGCATTGAAATATCCATAAAACTGCGTTTGAATGTGTGGTCTTTTTATAAATTAAAAAAGATTATAAACCACTATTTTTGTGAAAAAAGCACGTAAAACATAACTAATTCAATTAAAAATATACAAGACCGAGGGAAACTTGGATATTGTAGTTTTTGAAAAATGAAAATATAAAAACATTGATTGTGAATGTGAAGTGAAATGAATAGGAAAACACTTACCCCTCGACTTTGTTTTGACTATCGTTTGATTCATTTTTTTTTTCGATGTTCAATATGTTCGCATGTAATATGTTTTCATTTGATCTTTTCTCCTGTTTTTCATCCTGTAATGGTGAAAATAATTTTTTGCTTTATTGCAAACAAAAATGTCGTAATATTTTATCGATTTTTAAATTTCAAAGAAGAGCGAAATAAATAAATTGGTGATATTATGCAATTGATGTGTGGTAAACTTACACCGCTGAACTCCTCAACTTCATCGTCAATTTCAAGGCTTTCATCGGTACTGTTGCTGATCGTGCCCGTTTCTTCTTCGTTACTAGTCCAGCTATTCAATGTGTTGTCGTTGACGACAATTTTCGGTAGGCTACGTGACAACGTAATATTTTTAACATTAGTATTACCATTCGATGCGATAAGCGTAGAACCGACAACAATATCGGGTAAATGCATTGCATCGTCGGAATACTTTAGTGGGTGTTGTGACTTTTGTTGTATTGGTTCGGATGAATTTTCGTATACATTACTACTACTTTTATCGTTACTAATTTTTTCACTCATAACTTTTTTCGATTTATCAATATGTGACATTTTGTTAAATTCATGCTCATTAACTCTACTATGTTTGAATGGTTCCATATTTGTGATTTGATCAAATTTAATGGTATTGGCGCTAAACCGTGTTGGTTGGCCATTAACCAAAACGCATATCACATCGTTGTCGTTATTTGGGTGGTTTGTTTTTGAGTGCATCGAATGTTGTATATTATCGATACTTTGACCATTGGGATTTGATTTAAATGCATTTGGTGTATTGAAACTGTTTTCGCTGGTTCTTTCACTACTGAGACTATTATCGGCAGCAGAAACTAATTCATTCTCTTCTTGAATTTCTTCCTCGGTTTCCTAAAAATTGCATTGATATTAAAACACTAACGCCAAAAAAAACCTTCCTCCGAAAAAATCTTTCAATACATTTTTTGCATTCAACATACCTCTTCTTCGATTTCCTCGTCAATCTCTTCATAGTCACTGCAACTTTCACTCTCTTCAACAATTTCAACAATGTCGATGGCATGGTCATTTTCGGTCGCTTTGAAGCTATCGCGTAGATCACACAATTTAATCGTATTTGATTCATCAGAAAAGTTAACAAACGGTTGTACATATTCGATTTGGTTTGAGCTCAAACCAACCTCCACAATTTCAATGCCAAGAGAACCTATAAGGGATCCGAGGAAAAAAAAATGAAAATCTCTCTATATGTCCAAAGCTGATTCGTCATTGTCTATCACTCTAGCAAATCTAAATTTACCAGTAATCTGTTTCCTATCGTGACTTCAAAATATTACTCACCGTGGGAACCCGTTATACTATTTGAACGTCTTCGACCATTTATCGTACGAATGCCGTCAATTTTATTGTCGATGCAGTTTTTCTTGAATTTCAAATCATTTTGTTGCTTTTTACCGTGGCCATCACATTGCCTAAAAAGAGTTTTTACTTCAATCACTTTGCCATTCTGATCGATCACCGTTTCTTCGACGTCACTTAATTCAAGAGCATCATCGCTATTGTAACTATCGACACGATAAAATACGTTTTGCTCCATTTGCTTTTCACTTTGTTCACAATTTTTGTTTAAATTTGATGGGTAAAAATCAGTGGTATCGCATCCGCTCTCACTATTGCCTTGAATATTTGTGTCAACTGAACTTTTCTGACTTTGATCATCATTTCTCACATTTGATTTGCAATCATTTTCACTTGATGTTAGAACAACGAAGGTTTCTTTTGTGGATGTTATTGTGTTATTATGATTCGATGTGACATTGAAATTTATGTCATTTTTTTGTATTTTTATATCAGTTTTATTATTGTTTTTTGTCCCATTCGAAATTGATTCGAGGTAAGGAACAATTGTGTTATCGTTTACATTTTTCGTGGCAGTACCAGTGTATTGTGACCATACCACTGATTTTTCGTCCGAATCAAATACAGTTGAATTTATTTCATTCAAATCGGACGACGTTTCATAAAACATATCCTTGATCTCGTTCGTCGCCGTTCTACTGACAACCAACTCACTGTGGTGAAGCTTCGACTCTAGTTTTGGCTCTATACCGGATTGTTTTGATGACGTTTCGCTTTCTAATATTTCATTTATTTCATTCGAAAAATTAATTTTATTTTTATCATATTGCGGCGCTTGTGCTGTTGGTGTTGCTGTTTTTGTAGCTGCGTCATGGCTTAATTTCGGGTAGCTGTTCGCATTTGTTACGGTCGTCTCAGAGTTTCTATTCTTTGTGTAGTTTGGATTGATTTGTTGTTTCGGATTGTTATTCGATTTGTTAATCGTGCTCGTTGATTGATATTGTCCCATTGTTGTTCGTGTACCGTTTTTATTAATGCATGGAATTGGTTGATTTTTTTGGCAAATTACGTTAAAAAATTTGATCTCTTCAGTTCTCTGTACGTAATCGCGTGAATATGGTGACAAAAAATTTAAATTTTCCACTGGCTGTATACGTTTTTGATTGGATGCTATTGAACAATTCACGGTTATATATGAATTTTTTTGAACACCACCAACATTTTCGACAGCGATATTCGCTTCATTTGCATCAACACTGGATGAGATATGATTATTACTTTGAGGCGTCAATAATTGTTTGCATGCGATTTGGCTGAAATTCTTATTTTTGCCGCTGATAGATGAATCTATTGGAATATATGAATATTGCGGCAATGCTTTCTCTGCGATTGGGCTATTTTTGATTATTCGTTCGTTTGACGAACCAATTATTTTTTCGCTCTCATTCGCAACAGCGTCGATCGTTTCGTTGCGGATTTTCGTTACTTCACAATCGCTTGCGTTATTTGTATTAATGCAATCTGATGCGCTTTTCATTCGATTTGACTTTGAGTTGATGTTATTGTTGCAAATTACGCGTTCATTTTCGTTGATATTAAAGGTGTCGCTATGTAAAATCTTCGGGCTAATATTAATATTACTATCCTGTAATTTACGTTGTAACTTGTTCTCGATATGATCGTCATCATAAATGCCACCATCACTCCCATACAAATTTATCTCACTTTTGATTTTCGCATTAATTGATACGTGATTATTTTCGGTTGTTGTTTTATTTTGACTTTTCCCATGTGACTGTTTATCGCTTTTCATATGAACTCTTTTCAAATGTGATTGTTGATGATATTGCTGCTGCTGTTGAATTGGCTGCTGATTGAGTTTGTTTTTACGCCGATTTTTACCCATTTTACCAAAGATTCCGTTCACAAAAAGCGACACACGATCACTAACTGATGAAGTCAAATCTTCCAACTGATCTGCATTTGATTCGTTTTTAATCAATCTATTTTGGTTGGTGATATCCAAGGGCTGATTACTCGATCGAATTCGATATGTATCTGCGCAGGATTCATTTTTGTCATTGTTATTTTGTTGACAATTCGTTATCGGTACTTTAGCCGAACGCTTGAAAAATCTCGGCATCGTTATTTTGTGTTTCACTTTTCAATCGATCAATCGGCTCCTAATTTGATTGATAGAATTTTTACTCATGTTTCTCCCATCGATAAAAACTCATCCCATATAAAACATGGGTTTCTACCATATAAAACATGAAATTCTCTCAATCTAAGTTGAAAATAAATTTCAGAAGATTTATGTCTTTGTATGAATTTTATCAAATAGAATTTGTCACAAAATAATATTTCACAAAATAAATTATTTTATGTCACAATGGGAACACAATTTTTAAATTTCTTTGCTGTCTTTATGTGTATTATTGAGTTTGGTTTTTGAAGAAAGAATTGAATCTGTTGCATGTGCAATACACTTGTTCTTGTTTGTCTAATATTTTTTATCTTTTTTCTTAATCCAATTGATATGTTTTCTTATGTCTTAAACTGAAACGCGGTATTTATAAGTTTCACAGATGCAAACGCATTGATGCATTTTTGCACCTGATCAAAGCAATGCCTGCTATCTACAAACGGTTTAATCTTCCCCTTTTTGTATGACTGATCTTAACCATTCACAGTATATAATGAGGAAGAATACATTTTTGTTTTTAAATATCACCAACAACAACAAAAAAAAAGTATATACGTTTTATTTTTGTATGAATGAGTATTATATTGGTTATATGCGTCCCGGCTGACGCAACTAATCGTATTTCATTAAGTTGAGATTATTGCAAAATGATTTTTCGACACTGAGACGACAGAGCACTTCAACCTGCCATGTTCATTTCAACTATTTGGCTATATGCTGCGGGTGCTTGTTTTACATATTTCGAACGACGTTTAAAAGCATTTGTCGAGTGGATTTGCATGTTTATAGTATATTTCTTGTTACATTTGTTTGCTCGAAAATTAATTTGAAACAACAGGAGATGAAATTACACCAATAATCATTAAATATTCCTTCTCAGCAAAATTTTACGCTGCCTTTCATATTTCATTCTCAACGGTTATTTTTTCTACTCTTTGTGTTGCTTGTTGTTTGTCATTTATGACGTGCGCAACCTGAATCATTTTCCTACTTTACAAAATGACATCGTCGATTTAAGGAAAAAAAGCACATTTCGCTATTTTCAACCGCAATTAGCTTGAATACTATAAGTTCGTAGGTGTGTGTTGTAGAGCAACATGTGTATAGAAAGTCTTTGGAATAAATTCAGACGTTGCCATTTGAACAACAAACACACAATATTAAATTAGTTTTTATTGGTATATTTATAATCTTTATTCATAGGCTAAAGAATAGCACATTCACTTCACACTGAACGGACCATTATCTTAGATTTTTCTCAGTATGCGTCGAACCATCAAAATTATGTTCTGGACAACCTTTTTGTCGATTTCTATCAACTTTCTCTCAATCCATCCAACCAATTGTTGCACGTTTCAAGTATTTTGGACCTTCGCCTATAACATACATCCAAAAACAGACTAGAAATAATTAATTTGGTGTTTTTTCTGAAGTTAAAAAGATGGTCCTTTTTTCATAGAAATGCTATTTTTCAAGAAGTTAGCCATTATTGTGGTTTTTTCTGCTTGCAAAGCATAATTTTGTCTTGAATCAGATAGTTCTCAACGAATTCTATCGATTTCAACAATATTTGGTTGATAATAGAGCAAGTAATGGAGGTTAACCTTACGTTTCAGCACTAAATTTTCGAATAATGGCTCTAAAACACCTTCCGAAGAAGATCCTACCATACAAACATCACTTTATCAAAGTTCGGTTTGTCGACGTCTCTAGCCCTGTTCGGTCTGTCGAAATAACAAAAGAAGCGCCATTATCTTGGCTCGTGAGCACAATATCAGTCGATCTTCAATGCAAAGAGTGTTAAAAGAAGATTTGGGAATGAAACCATTTAAAAAAATCCGAAAACACGGTTTGTCAAAAATAAGCAAGACAGAAAGGAAAAATGCAAAGAACTGCTACACTGGGCCGCAACTTCAAACATAGTGTTTTCAGACGAAAAGTTGTTCCTTTTGCAGCCAAGTCTCAATGCGCAAAATGATCGCGTGTATGCAGCGTCAATTGAGGACATTCCTGAAGATGATTTAGCTGTTGACCGATTTCAAAATGTATCAAGTGTCATGGTTTGGGCATCCGTTTCGGCAGGCCACAAATTTCCTCTTGTTTTCGTTGAAAAGGGCGTTAAAATTAATGCAACTGTTTATGAAGAAGAAATATTGCGCAAAATCTTGTTGCCACATGCTGAAACTGTATTTGGTGATAAACCGTGGGTGTTTCAACAAGAAGGGACACCGGCACATCGAGCAAACAAAGTGCAACAGTGGTTAAGAGAAAATGTGCCTGATTTTTTGAACAAAGATGGCCGCCATCTTCTCCAGACTTGAATCCATTGGATTATTTTGTGTGGGGCTACATGCAATCAAAGCTTAATGATCTGGAGATTAAGAAAATCACAAAATTGGATGCATTTAAAAAGAAAATCGTCAAGATTTGGAATGATATTCCCATCGAAATGGTGCGGTCCGCGTGGGTGACCGCACTAATTCCCGAAATACATTTTCCCGAAATTGTAAAATAGGCCTTTTTCCCGAAAAGGATATTTTCCCGAAAGACAATTTCCTGAAAAAAGATTCCCGAAAAAACTTTTTCCCGAAAAAAAATTCCCGAAAAAACTTTTTCCCGAATTTTTTTCCGGAAGACATTTTGACAATTCTATACCAAATTGCTCAATTTTTTTAAAGTTCTTTAACTGTGGTTAAGATTTCTCATGAACTAAGTCTGATGAAGTTTTAGTCTGAAGAAGAGTGAACTTTTTTCCGAATCCTAAATCAAATTTAATTGAAATAGAAATAGATTGCGCTCGTTCGGTATTGCGTTACATTTTTTTACTCCCATTTTTCCCGAATCCTAAATCAAATTGAATTGAAATAAAAATGGGAGAGAGTGCTTAGAATGGAATACAAGACCGAACGAGCGCGCGCGTTTTTTGTGCGGTAATCGTCCGCGTGTAAATCATTTCTACGACGTTTGCGTTTGGTGGTCCGTGCAAACGGAGGAAGAATCAAAACAAAAACATGAATTTAAAACTTTGGACCCTATTCTAAATCCCAATAAAGTTTTCGTTCAATTTTAGTAAAAAACAATACGTTTTTTAAGCATATATAAAAGTGACAGTTATTCTGGGCCACCCTATACACATGTTATGCAGAGCTGGGCACGAACAGTCAGTCGTTCGTTCGTACATTGAAAAAATATGTTTTTGTGGTCGGTCGTTCGTTTGATCGTTGAAATCATTAACGATCGGTCGGTCGTTCGTAAAAAAAAATTCAAATTTTATTAGAATTAGAAATAATTTGAAAATTTATTTATTTAAATACTTTTTTCTTTAAATTTGTACAATTATAAATTATTTAACAAACCTGATTTTACAATTTTGCTTCGAACATCCGGACGTCAGCACGTGTTTGGTGTTCGATCGCACATACGAACGAATACAACGAACATTTTAATTTTTACGAACAACCGACCGACCATTTGTAACTTCAACGAACGAATGACCGATCACAAAAAAGGAAAAAAAACGCACACGAATGACCGATCACAGAAAAGCAGCTTATTATTAAATTATATTAACTGATGGAGAGAGTTGACAGCTGTCAAACTATGTTGTTTTTTTGTCTTCGTTCCAAAAAAAACAAACAAAATTATTAAAATAAAAATATAAAAACAAACAAACAAATGGAAAAAAGAAGAAATACATTAAGAAAAACTGGTGCTACTTGTGTGACAATTGAAGTTCAATCACATTTAAAGTGGAAAAAGTGATACTTTAAAAAAAGTGTATCACAATGAATACACTGACGCACAACTGTGGAGAAAAAAAATGCAACGGCACACGTTTTGGCGGTCAATTTTTGCAATGCAACCATTGCAAAAGTAAAATATATTTTGAATGCATAAATTCAACGGAAGAAAACTTTTGTTACACAAAAATGACAAATGTTACACAAAAGTGACAAATTTTGGCACACCTACAGTTTGGTGAACTTTTTCCAAATCGCTCTATTTTTTAATATGATATGTATAAGTACTACCATAATGTTTAGCAACATGAATTTTTATGCGGCAGCATAAAATTGTAACATAAGTTCCACTTTTTTGAATCGATCGATTTTTTTATATGAATGTGTATGACTATGATTAGAAATGAATATTTACCATCATTGTTGTTTATTATTGTTTAATATTGTGGAATTCTATGTTTCGCATGTCTCCACAATCCTTCAATTTTGTTTGTGCATGCGCCAGTTATCGGGTCTTTAAAAGTTTTGGAATGATTAACAGTGAGATGAGTGTAGTTAAAGTTGCTCAAGCTTGCGTACGCTTTCCAACAGTCGCTAATTATTTTCGATCCCGGCAAAATGTATTTTTGGATGATTGTCAACAGCGTTTCTTTGTCTCAACGTTCAACTGGTATTAAAAATGAATCCCCAGATTCACGCTCTATGCCACCAAATACCCACTGACCTTCTATGCGGTGTCATGACCTTCTACACGGTGGTAATTTCTACGCCCAAATTTCGATTCATCAATTTCAATTCATCAATTTCAATTATCTTTCCTTCTCCACCTATTGCGAAACACATCGTATTGTATAAACACTAGTGGCGCGAATGCATCTATTGTCGAAAACACACTCGTCAATTGTATTAATCTACATAACTACATAAATGTGAGACACGAATTGGGATCGCTTACTTACCAATAGATTTTGAGTTCAGAATACATGAATTGATTGCAATTTCTGTACAAAATTTGTTCCATAATGCAGCTGTCCTGGGTGATCCGATATCTGCTTCCAACGACATTTTGCCTATTTCAGAATAATGTGTCCACTCATGGATGACGATCATGATTTGCTCGTAATTCAGATGTGAGTCTTCGAACACTGACAGTTTCTTTACCGACTTTTTATTATTGCATTCTATTTGTTTACTTTTTTTGCGTGGCTGGTATTTTTTCTTACAAAGCCAAAACCATTCATTTTTGCGCTGAGAAAACCATAAATGCATTGCCTCACCACATTTGGAGCATTTGACTTCACCTTCATTCGGAATAGCTCCGAATTCTCGAAGTTTATTAATTAGTTGCGTTTCCGCTTGACCCCACAAAACAATGCGCTTAAGATCCACGTGAATTGAAAATGCAAATGCAACTGAATGTGTGATGGAAAAAAACTAACGAATGT